TGTGAGCAGAAGCACTGTTGTCATAATTGTTCTGTCTGTATCTTGTTATTAAGTGAAACACAGCCAGTGGGCTGTTAGTGACTTTCTGCACCAGTAAGGAAATAGTGGGAAGAGACAAACGACTACTGATCATTATTTTGACAGGATGTGGGTTTTTTAAAATATTTCAATATTATTATTATTATTATTTTAAGAAAGTGTTAGTTCCCCTTTTGTAGACTTTGGGGTGAACATATTTAACTCAAACTTAAATTTGGTTTTGTAAAGAAACTACACTATGATTCAGTTAAATCTACCTACAGTTCCACAGTACAGAGGGGCACAAAACAAGGATTAACTTTCTCTCTCTCCCTATTTGCCTTTTCATTGATTCAAAAAATGCTAACAACCCCATTTTATTTCGGTGATTCAGTACAAAGTACAGGCTCAAAACATGTTTTACTTCATTAAATACAGTACACTTGTAATTATTGGATGCTAGTTTCTAAAGTTGACCTTGTGTTAAGGTGGGTAATGTCGGACAACGGGGATTAGGCCCAAACGCAGACGATGCAGATACAGGCAGGCTGTTAGGCAGGCAACAAACAGACAGGCAGGTAAGTAGGCAGATACAGATACAGGTAACAAAAACTTAAATGCACAACTAGTAGCCCCTTTACAGCTGGCATTAAAAAGTGTTTCGGGTGATAGGATTGCAATCAGATAATGCTTTACCACATAAAAATATGGGTGTAAATGCACCAAGATGTGAAGTTGGATGTGGCAGTCAGGTGATAGAAAAGAAAGGGAAAGTATGAGAGCATCTGGTAAAAAGTTTTAAGGATGGCAGGTCTGGTGGACAGCTTTCATTTTATTTTACTATTGTATGAAAATCAACAGGATCAATCGATGAGAGATCTTTGATGCTATCTGTCCATCTGTTAACCACACTTCTCCTGACTCCTTTATATCAACAACAAAAGTCTTATGCAACTTGTGCAAAAGTGTGAAAAAATAAGCCACCAGAGACTCAGTGGCAGACATAAGCAGATGGTAAGTGCACGCCAACAGTCAGGTTAACTGCAAAGTATTTATTTTTTTTGTGCATAACAATAAACTCAGTAAGAGAAAATAAAAATCTAAAAATCAAGAACTGCAACCCAAGAAGCATAATTATAAAAAATAAATTTGAAAAAATGTGCAAACAAGTTAAAACATATGTACGATATAACTGTTTAACTGTTTTTTTTCTGGTGACAAGAAGCAGGAGAGCTGGAGGATTTAAGCAGGAAGCTGATGAGTTGATTGGAGTCAGGTGAGTAGATGAGCCACGTTCCAGGAATATAAGCCTTGCCCACAACACATACACATAAACACACAAAGGAGAGGGTGACAAGGGCTGCGGTCAAAAAGTCGTTTTTGCTTAGGAAGGTTCCTAACTGAGAAAAGTGACCCAGAAGTATTTATGTGGCAGCCATGATAAGAGCTGGTCAAATTCTCTATGCTGAGGAAAGGTGCTTCAATGCTTTCCTATCTCCTTTAGCATAGAGTACACTGGACCATCCTTCATGAAAGGAAAGGAGATAAAACCGTCCCATAATTCCTTTCGGCAATCAAAGAGACGCACGTTCTCCAACATAAACAATAAAATCCACCAACCACATTTTGCAAAGTCCTTACAATACATGAAGGACTGGGATGCCCGGACTGGTATCCTATATACAGTATATATATGTCTTTTTGCAACCTCGGCAATGAAGTACTATTTTCCACAGTGTTATCCACCTTTAAATGGCCTGCATTAAAACAGCAACGCACAGAACATATCAAGTATCATAGATGCGCATTTTTTTAGTCCATCTTCAGAAAACTGTAGTTTCACTACTGCAAGCCACTTCAATAACATCCACCGTCGCATAATTACGTGGCCTAGATAAGTCCAGTCAGATCCTCCTTCACATCTTTCCTTGACCTCATGACGTTTTCCACCGAGGTCAAGGAGAAGGCGTTCGAAATTTTTTTTACTTTTCAACCGCAGCCCAGGAAAACACAGAGCAGTGACATAAAGTTATAGAAAGCAGTGAAGAGCTAATCATCACCATGGATCATGACACATTTTGGTGCGAAAGTCCAGATGCCAAGATGGTTGGCAAATTTATCAAATTAAAATCAAGACAGCTGTAGATATAACAAAGTCTCATCTTGTAGGTTGTTGTGGCAACACACAAGCATGGCACCATGTACATTTGCTTGTATACGATAGTGAATTCTACTACATTGGTCTTATTAAAGATATATACATTTCAAGTTTACATCAAGTTTCATGTCTGTCAGGACATAATACTTTCTGAATTTATAATAAAGTTCCTAAAGCTTCCTTGAGATACTTTAAAGTTTGTCCATAACAGAAGAGATTACTCTTCCTTGAAACCTTTTCTCTCATAAGAAGTGAAAAATGAAAAAGGTTTCACATGTCCTACATTTGTTTACCTTGTCAATCACTCACATAATCAAACTCTCTCCTGTCAGGCTCTTGGTAGTAGTATTTATGAGCTCTTCATCTTCTGTTATTCTTGGCTGCTTGATAGATTTTCTCCCTGGTTCGTGCAGTGCATACGCTTGAGATTTGTCTTCACTCTGAATATATTTCCTCTGTGGCAGCCAAACACATTATTAAAACTCCCGCAGTTAAAGTAGACTAACGAAACACTTTTAGTGCTGACAAACTTTAACAGACACACTATAAACAGACCCATAATGCACCACTGCATTCTTAAAAAATATCCAACATTGGGAACATGTAATTGCCTAAAATAAAAGACAACTCACAATGTTTTACTTTTATTCAGGCTAATACAGTAATAAGTAAAGACCTCGGCCACAGCTGGGCTCCACAAACTTTTTTAGGCATGCCGACATGACTCACCAACCATGACTCACATAAACAGCTTGTGTTAACAATATGTGCACCACTTCTGACCGAGAAGCAGTCTGTTCCGTTAACCACAAATGTTTCTGTGTACGTGCCGGTGTGGTGTCCGAACAATAATGCTGCGATGATGTGTTGAGAAGAAATCCGCTTGACACTGTTCCTGATCATAAAATTTTATTACATCAAGAAGTTCAGCATTAATTACAAGCTCTGCAGCAGCTTGGAGAGTGACCCAGCCCGATGGCCACTCTGTCTCTCTGTACATCAAACACAGCTTATATAGTATATGTTTAGGTATCTGCTGGATACCATATAAGGGTCTGAGTCTGCAAACTAAGGCACCAATCCATATAAGAGCAAAGTTCTATAGGATAAGTCTAGACATCTTGTTGGACACCAGATAAGGGTCTGAGCCTCCACGTAACCACTGACCTCTGCTCTCCCCTTAAAGGTCACTAATCCTCTATCCAGCTGCTACAGTGCTATGTTAAACTGTTATACACCACACATGCCAGATTGTAAAGAAACAACACACTTATCAGTCAGCTGCTGAATGCTCTGTACTGATACCTTTTCAAAGGCTTATTGATAACTAAACACAGAAAGACAATTACAGTTTTAAGCACTTAAGTAGTACACATTTCATTCACAATTACCAGAGCGTTTTCTCGCCAGATTTGCTCTGTGGACAGGAAAGATCAAGTGGTGGAAGGAGACAAAAAAGAAGAGGTAGCAGAGGAACGACAGGTCGAGGAGCGAGATGGAGAGAGAGCAGATGATGCTGCAGCATTGATTTGACAAGCTCTTGGTAAAGAGCCTTCATCCTCTAATGTTGGACTGAGGACAGACTGAATGCAACAGCGACTCACTATCACCTTTTGACACACAAGTGCTTTTACAACTCAGGACAGGCCGAGGCGAGCTGGTTAGCATGCTAACTTCAGTAGATATCTTTGCAACACAAAACATCGTCTTTGACATTAGGTCAGAGTTGTTACTTCAGTTTCTGTTGATCATGTTGTTGGCATGTTTCTTTGTGAATGTCCCTGCTTGGAAGGTCAAATTACAGTATACAGTTAGTTTGTTTCATGTGTCTGGGTATCTTCCTCTTTTTAAACACCAGTTCCCTGTATAAGAACCAGTTCCACAGTAAAACCAGTGATCTGCACATTTACTCATCATGATGAAATTGATTCTGTCGCTCTGTCTCATTTGGATGGTCTCCATCACAGGTAACTCTACTCACTCCTAAACTAGGGCTTAGGTAGGTATGAGAGAGTCTAATAAAAATACCTGGAATATAATTTCAAATAGAATCAAAGTAGTTTTAAATTGATTTTATTTTAAGCCAACATGAACAGAAATGCCTCTAATCTAGAAAACACGTCATGTCACAAAGTGACTACGGGTGTAGTTGAGGCCAAAGCTGGTCATTAACAGCTGAGTTTCTTCTAATCTAATATATTGTTACACAGCACTAATGAAAAATGAAGAATAGCCCATTATCTGTGTTACAACCAAGATGTTAGTGAGAGAAGCCTTTACTGGCTATCAAATGATATCTATTTGGTTTCAAAAAGTCTTGAGTGCCCTCTCCTGGTAGACAAAATCTATTTCTTGTGCACAGACTATAGGCCTATAGGATGTGTGTGCAAACAGCAAGAAACCTCTAATGGCCATAGAAATTATGACAGGAGTAAGAGTGAGGAAGTCAGGACAATAAAGTCAGCAAAAGGAGGAGTCTGGGGTCGTTGGATGATCCTTTGTGAAGTCAAAAGTTAGTTCGACCTTATTTTAACTTCAGTAACACTTATTCTCTTATTATAAACCAAAGCAGGATTTTCTTAAAAGTAACCAAATATTTTTTGGTTCCTAACTATAACAAAACTTCACTTAAATTAACTTACAGAAACATGACCATTTATATACATTTATTTATTCTCATTGCAGCTGCAGCTCTTCAGTGTCTGTTTGATGGTGGCGAATCAAACGATGTATTCCTATATCCATGTGACTCTGATGAAGAGTTGTGTGCAACAGCTGTCCTGCATGGTAAAAATGTCATCAAGTTATTGACTTGAAATTTATTTTAGTTGTCTGTGTGTTTTTTTTAACAATAAATAAATCGTTCTTGGGTTTTGAAGAAAATCTGGAGGTTCTTGTCACCAGGTCCTGTGTGCCGTCCTCTCTCTGCACTGCACACGATCAGATACTGTCATTCAGTACTGATTCTTGGACTTTGAATGCATCTGTTCATTGCTGCAACACAGATGGCTGCAACAATCAAACTTTACCTTGTAAGTATTTTTGATCTACAAAACACACAAAATATTTAGGAATTGTTGATGATAGATGTGATGCAGCTTCTTTCCCGAGCTGCACCTGCAGCAGCCCACACTTCTCAATTCATCTACACCATCTATGCATTCTGTAAATACTGAATAATGTTTTTTTTGTTCCCAAATTTACGGTCAAACCACAAGGAAACAGAAAGTTACCTAATAAGAATATCAAAATGCCTTGTTCTGCATGTTTACTGGCACTTTTATCGATCAGTTAATCAAACAAACTTTACTTGTAAAGCATCTTTCATTCAGGTTAATGCAATTCAAAGTGATTTACATATGACAAGCTGATAATACAGTATAAAGGGAAACAGAAAAAACTCATGCACACAAGAAATAACAATCATCCCCTCTCTTGATGTACTGATTACCCTGCCAGGGCAGCTGGATCAAAGAAGCATGGTGATCTAAAATCTTTCCCCTTTTTTCCTTTAACACTACAATCTTTGTCCGGAGACGAACAATCTTACCAAGACAAATAAGTTGGCAAAGTTGTTAGATTATTAAATCTTTAAAAGAAAAAAGTTTAAAAGAACATAAACTGTAATAATACTCAGTTTCTCACTGAACATGTGTCTCTTATGTCTCTTGTTCTGTTTCAGTCCCTATGCAAGCAAACAAAAATGACCTGCAGTGTCTCACCTGCACTAATGATCAAGATACGGTCTGTAACGGCACTGTGCAGTGTGTGGGAATCCAGGACCGCTGCATTACTGTAAACGGTGAGTACTCATGCTGCATATTGATTCAAAGCTGTGGTCTTGTAAAACAGCGATGTTTTCATCCACAGGGCAAGTTGACTTCAATGACACATTTCTGATCCGTGGCTGTGCATCTGCAAACGTATGTGAAGTTTTGTCTCACCTGAAAGTCCGATCTGCTTTCGCCGCCAACTTTGTTAACATCTCCAGTGCACCTAAATGTTGTGGAACCAGCTTCTGTAATTCAGCCTGGACTGTCAGACTGAGTATTTGTCCTTTGCTGCTTGGTCTCATTTCCCTGATTGTCTATTAGAACCAACAAACAAAACACTCCTCTATACAAATATAGAATCAGCTGTCAATTTATTAAGTACACCTAGCTAAAACTAACACGGCCTAATTCAGTTCTGCCTTCATGTTTGTGTTAAAACAGTTCAAGAAGTGTTGATAATTGTGGACGATGTAGAAACAGAGAGATGGTTCTGTTACATAGCCGACCCTGATTGATATTAAATTGGTGGACAAAATAAGAGAAACATGTGGTGACATTATAGCCTTTGTGAAGGTAGGATTTATTGTATTTATGGTGTACCTAATAAACTGGCAACTGAAGCGTATGTGTTTTTACCACAGAGTTGTTTTTGCTATAAGTGAGTAAAGAAATTCAAATTACCATCAAATTAGCTCAAAGACTCAAATTAAAGTAAATGTAAGAATTTTAAATTGTGAAAAGATGAATTGTTAATCACTTCATGGTAACTCATAAGTTTATTATTGCTGCTGAAACTAGTGTCTGCATTTGTATTATTATAAAGGCTTCATGAATCCATCGGCGCCAAGTGTGTGTAAATGTTTTGTAAAGGCGTTTCTGTTTTGGAGAGCTGCCCTCTTTTATAACTACACACCCAGTTGTCTTCCAGTCATCTCTTACCTTTGTTAAGTCTTCATTTTAACACAACAGCATGTGTTGATGATGAAAGTAAATGCAATAGTAGTTTAGTATATTTAAAGCAAGTGTAGTTGTCTGACAGCTCTATATCACAAGGATAAAATCGTCTTTCTTCTGTGTCACATACATATTTTAGCTGAAATCTCTGTAGAATAGTAAAAGCATTTTTTTGATCAATCTATCCTAATAAAGCTTTTCTGATGTGAGAATAAAATAGTTCCTGGTTTATCTGTGTTATTGAACTCTGTGGTGTTTTATGATTAACTTTCATTTTACTTTATTTAACTTTATTTAAAGGTAAACGTCTAGTTGAGATTAAAATCTCCTTTTCAATAGAAACCTGGACAATAAGGCAGCATAGTAACATTACAACAACAATAAATACAAACATCAACTATCATGAAACTATCATACACCACAAAAGACTATAAACAAATTCCAGTTAAGATGCATAAACATTTCCTCTAAAATGCAGGATGATGTACAGTTTCCGATTTTCAAAAGAACAGTTTATGCACAGTTTATATACAAATCAGATTTATAAAGTAAAGTGAACTGAAAAAGATTTCTTTAATAATTGTCGTAATAACATTTGTGTATTTCACTTGTCTAGGCAACCTGACTATTGAGATAAGCACACATGAAGACAGAAATCATTTGAATCTAGCGTTTTTCTAAATGGCATCACCTTTAAAGCAGCTACAATCAATAGTTTAATAATAATGTATCAAATAATAATGTGAAAACAAAGTGGAGTCACTTGTAGTGATACACCTGTACCTGATGTTGTTACAAACACTCTGGAAAGTGCAATAAATCTTGCCTCTTTCATATAGACTGTCCTCAGTTTAGCAGGTTAGCCAGAAACTCTCTCTTCACATTCGATGTCTGTTTCCTTCTTTAATCCTCTCCAGAATTCTGATGCTGTTCTCGCGTTTGCGTGATTTTACCGGTATCTCTGCTGCCTTAATCGATTTGTGGATCTCCTTTCGATTGAAATGTAAATATTTTGCATAGTATTTGTAAAGCATCTGTTTCCCTGCAGGCTCCAGATCACTTTCTAGTAGATCCTTGAATATCTGGTCAGCTTCATCTTGCTGATTGGACTTTGCATATATGTTTGCAAGATCTATTTTCGTTTTACGTGAAGAATGGGGGTAAAGAGAAATCACATCCTTACAGAGACTGATTGCTCTGTCGATCATGCGGTCCAGGGGATTGTCCTGGGAGGAAAAGATCCTCCACTTGGAGCAGATTACAGCACAACTCTTTGGATAACGTTAATCTGGATTTATTTCCCGAACCTTTTCTGCCAAATCAATAGTCTCATCAGTGGATACAGATTCTGTACAGCTTTAGCAATGGTTTCATACCACTGTAGCTGCTGACGGGCTTTGTTAAACCCTTTCTTATGTGCTTCATCTTCAATTTTCTTACTCTATCACAAGGTTAAGAGCGGCAAGGTACAAGTTCTCATATGTTCCTTGGTGATTTTCATTTTCTCTAACTTTCAGATCAGAAAGGTCTGCTTTAAGATCACACAGCCGTGACACAAGGTGCCGATTAAGATTAAGGAAACTGCAACTGAACAATTCACCACCTGGCTGAAACAATAACAGACCCGCCAGCTAATGTCTAGCAGTCAAAGAAACTTTCTTTCGTTATGGACGGGTAATGTCCTGGGAATTGCATAGCTTCACATAGCTTGCAACGCTGACATGGCTAAGCACAAGACTGTTGTGTACGTTGATGTGTTTTTCATTGAGTTTTATTGTTGTGATAATTGTTTATGTGATATTATGTAACTACGGTTATCAGCCACTGCTAAATTGGTTAGAGATGTTATGCTTTAGTCTTTGCATGCTAACAAACTCCTTTTAACTTGGCAACGTTACACAGATCACATAAATACATGTTGAACTCAAAATCCTTCAACCCACTAGCTATTAATGGTAGATTTATTATAGTTATTAACTTAATTTTTAATCAGAATACCAAATTAATAGTTATGAATTAGCTAATTTGCCATAAATTTTCTCTTGTTTAACGTGTGGTGCCCCAGGTGAATATAACCTTAAGTAATATTCTATTATTAATTTTTCAGTACAATTCAATTAGTAAATATAAATCTTGATGCCATCTAAACACTACTCCCCAACACTAAATTCTATACATAAGGAGAGTCTTGAGTAAATGTACTGATTTTCCACATCTGCTGTCAACACAACAAAAGAACTTTTAGTTGAATGTTTTGTCTCTCTCAAATCCATCTTTGAATTCAGTTTTAAAAAATGAAATCAAAAACAGGCAGAATTAACTTTTAAAAAGTCTAAAATTGAATTTACAAAAGCCTTAAATATCTTTTCTTACCTGCTCTAGGCACTAACTTCCCGATTAGCCTGTAAGCCTGCAGGTTATCTTCGTGGTTAACCTGAAGTTACCCATATGTGAACTACCAACCCCTTCTGTACTACTGCACTGGAGTGTTAATGAGAAGTATTAATACACACGACTTGATAAAATATTTTTAGATTTCATCCTGACTTGTTCCCCTGCGGTTGCAGCAGAAATATACAGTGAGCCTCTGTGATTGAGGGAGAAGATCTTAATTAATTAAAGGGCCAATTTCTGAGACGTAGCCCATCTGTTTAGACTAACGTTAATTAAATTATCCTAAATGTTTTTACATATTTAGATTTTACGCCTCCAAAGCCGGGTGGGGGTTAATAATAAAACATTCTAGATGAAAGTTGTAAATTTACAAGAACAAAACTCCAAATCACTCTGTCTGTCTCTTGTATTCAGAAGAAAACTTCTGAATACAAGTCTTTAAAGTCCCAATGCAAATGATAATATGGTCATTTTAGGTTGTAAAAGAATCAAAAATAGATTCCACACTATGTGATATGCTTCCAAAACAGGTAGTGATATCAAAGAACAGTGTTTCTCTCTTGCTGTAACAGACTTTGTCTGATGACTCATGTGCATGAACAGTATGTGCATGTAAGTTTAAAAGTACTTAATAAATAGTACTAAAATGCTCCTAATTAAAAAACATCTGTGTACATCCTTAGGTCTATGTAAAAAGAGGTGTGTGTCTGTGTGTGTGTGTGTGTGTGTGTCATTGTGTGTATATTCTTATTCAGAGTCACAGTCGGTGCTTGAAGTGGGTCGGTACGTATACCAGCACTTCAATATTTTACTCTTTGGCGTACTGGGATTTTTTCTTGCTCACAGGCACTTCTCACAAGCTGCCCATTCGCTTTTCTACCCTCTCCACCGGCGGAGACCAAGAATGGAAAATGTCAAGTGACGATACATACGCCAACATGTGAACATGTGAATGGAGGGTATTGGTCACAGTGCAGACAAATGAATGCTGGTAACCCTGGAGTGCGGGTATGGCAAATTCATCACATGTTGCCTGAGAAACTATATTTCAATCTAATATAAGTCAAACAATTCTATCTGCTTTAGTATAGATACTAAACAAAAAATAGTCTTGGTCAAAAAATTTACTTTCTTACCTCAAACTAAGTTTTTTCTTTATACATTCTGAATATGGCTGTTTCCAGACTTGATAACCACCAGGCCTGATTGGGGAGAAAGTAGGTAAATACTGAAATGATCACTTAACTCCTGTCTTATCTCTATTTGATGGAATTGGTGTTACAACTTTCCCCATGTTACAACCAAACCCGGTCTCCCCTACCTTAAATTCGTTTCCCGCAACTTATTTGGTCACTAAACTATTTTACTCCTCTCTCATTCCAATATAAAAAAAAAACTTTTCCCTTACTACCAGTGATGATGACCTAATTAGAAAGAGGAGGATCTGATTCAATTCCCCAATACTTTTTATGTAGCAGTTATCTGAAACAAGAAAATTTTTCAGTGGACACTAGTGTTGCAGTTTTAGATTGCAACCAGTCGTGTGCTTGTACGCGTGCTCGCTTGAAGCTTGTGCTTGAGCGAGCATAATCTGAAATACAACCGCTTTCATACATAAATCCTGCAATAAACGCAGAAACTCCAGCATGCAGGCTGTTTTTCCACACAGACATGTTCAGACTCTGCTACTTCACCGTTCCCGTCTCAGCGCAGCGAGCTGCATATTGGCTCAATACTCCCGGAAAAAAGTGGGTGTGACAGTGGCTATAGACAGGCAGGGAGACAGCTTCAGACAATACACTGGAAACTCAGGTAAACAGCTGCAGGTTGAGCACAGCTATATTGGATAGCGAAACGGGTAGTGAACCGGACTGAATATTATAACGAGATTGTATCACACTTTGTAACAGTTAGACTGCAGTAAGTAACTTTACTGTAGTGTTAGTTCGCGGCTCTTCCTCTTGTTGTCGCCGAGAAGTTGCAGTCTTGTATATTATAACCCTTTATTTATTATTTTTGTATCCTTACGTGGAGCCTGTGTTTTTGCTGGGAGCACACACAGGGCTGAATCCGACCCAGAGTCCTCACATTAAACTGAGCAGCACATATTCACTTTCTCTCACTCGGTCTCTCTCTCTCTCTCTTTCTCGCAAACAGGGACAACAGACCCGTCTGTGAATTGAATGGTTGGTTTCATAAACACCGCTGCACAAATCTGTCCAACACAACGCTGTAAATGTCGGAGAACCTACTTCAAAACAGTTATTAGCAATCACGTAAGGAGCCTAGCTAATAATTAGAGCTATGTTACCTTTGGAAAACAGCTGTCGAAGTTAGCGCTGCATAACGGGTAGTCAACAGGTGCATTTGAGATCATTTATCACTATTGATGAACCCCACAAAAATAGTATAGCATTTAAAAGCAGAACTTCAATGCATTTTCATATAATTCTTGGCAGGCATGCAAAATTCGGCATAACACAATTATCAGGTTTGATTAGAAAATCAATTTATTTATTTGTTATGTATTAAGTAAATTAAAGCCAGTTTCCCCTCATATATACATGTATGTGTGTCTATTATTGTTGTGGTGCTACAGAATCTCCCCACTACCTTGTGTTCTTTTGTTCCCCCCTTCCCTGGGTTTTCTGTCTGTCCTCCCTCTGTCTGTGTCTGTCTGGGCGTGGCTACACTCTCTGGCTCCAGCAGCGCACCTGGCTCTCATTCCACTAACCAAGCTCCTGCAGTATTTCAACCCCAGTCCTCCTCACATTCTTCGCCAGATCGTCAGTTAACCACATGTGGTACATGCGTCAAGGCCGACTATCTTCTCCTGTAAGATTCCCTGTAATTTCTGTCTCTCCCTGGACTAACCTGTTTTTCTCTGTGCCCAGGATCACACTACCTCCGGGAAACCTGCTGAACGCCACACCCTGCTCTGCTCCTATTTTGCCTGGACTAACTCCCCGCCTCTGTGTTCTCCATTCTGCCCTGTTGGAGCCAACCACCCAGTCCTCTGTTGCACCTTTCAATAAAACCCCTTTGTTACCCCTTCGAACAGTTCCGAGTCTGCCTTTGAGTCCTCAAGTTTTTGCACCATAACAATTATATTATTTATTATATTATATTATATATATTGCTGCCGTGGTCAAGACGTGTTCCACCTCAGCTTCATCCAGACTCCATCCCTGATTTCCTGAACTGGATTTTCTAGCCCCACTAACTGCCAACTAAAGATGCAAGTGAGCAGGCTTCAAAAAAGGGTAAAGAGGAGGAGTCCGAGCAGCAGATGGATCATATCATGGACAAAATGCGCTGCACTGTCCGTAATCACAGAGAGAACGAACGTGTTTCCCTTGTCAGTGTTTGTATAATGTGTGGTTTATAATGGACTGTGGTGCAGAAACCGTGACAGTGTTTGGCTCACTTACATTTTCCATGTTGTCTGTCAGTGGCCAAGTCAGAATAACATATGGTTTTACTGAATAATTAAGTAAATATAATTTCTTAATAAATCGTAAATATAATTTCTTAATACCCCCCCAGCACAGTTACGCTGTCAATCTGTGTGAAACACTGCACTGACTGATAAATAGATTAGAATTTTGCACCTGCACGGTGTAAATATCAGAGCACATGAAGTCCACTCAAAGTATGAAATAAAGTCATTAATATGTATTATGTTTTAAATAGAATCAGCTTTATTGGTAAGTAGGTTCACATACATATAATTACTGGTGCTTAACAATAAACAAAGCAGATAGAAAATATAAGACAGATAAATAGAGCAAGGAATCAAAAATATAAAATTGACAATAAGATACAAAAGAGGTAAAACAATAATAGGATGTGTACAATAACGATATCATTTTCCTCTCATTGAGTTTGATATTAATATTAAAGATTAGTATTTTTATTTAATGGAATATCTTATTTGTACAATTTGGAACAAAAATACAATTATAATATAATGTTACAGCATTCAGTCAGGTTTGATTAAAAATTCAATTTATTTATTTGTTATGTATTAAGTAAATTAAAGCCAGTTTCCCCTCATGTATAGATGTATGTGTGTCTATTATATATTATATTATATATATTGCTGCCGTGGTCAAGACGTGTTCCACCTCAGCTTCATCCAGACTCCATCCCTGATCTCCTGAACTGGATTTTCTAGCCCCACTAACTGCCAACTAAAGATGCAAGTGAGCAGGCTTCAAAAAAGGGTAAAGAGGAGGAGTCCGAGCAGCAGATGGATCATACTGAGACGAATACAGCAGGCATCACTGGCAGTTGTTGTTGTTGTTGTTGTTGTTTTCGTTGTTGTTGGTGTTGGTGGTGTTTTTGTTGTTGTTTTTGTTGGTGGTGTTTTTGTTGTTGATGTTGTTGTAACAGCATTACACAAACTGGTCCCACAACAGGATATTCCACCGGTGATGTTGGCAATACTTTGCAAGAAAGATAGGCCATTCTGGTTGGTAGCCAGGTCACACAGGTTTGAAGATATACAGCCAAAGAGTTTTGCATTGCTGGACCCACTTGTCACTATAAATAAAAATCATAGTTTTACTATAGAAGATATATTTTTTGTCAATTAAGTCAAAGAAGCAATGTTAGACAGTACAAATACTCCATTATGAGTTGATGTTTTTGGTCCTGATTCAGTTCCAAGTCCTTCAACACTGGGTATCTGCCAAAACATTTACATTTACTCATTTGGCAGACGCTTTTATCCAAAGCGACTTACATTTGAGGAACAACATACAAGCAAATCCCATTCCAGTCTGATCGCAAGCTTACTTTATTTGCCACTGCAGCGTGGGTTGAATTTCTTCAAAAGTTAATTCTGTATCAACTTTTGGCCTACACAATATTTTTTTCCCCAGCATTTCCTCCAATCCCCACGAACTACAGTCTACATGCACTATTTTGGAAAATAATGTAATGTGTTTTGTTTTTTTATCAATATTGCTATTGCGATTTAATATGATTAATTTTTAAGCTCTTTACCTTCTGTATTATTCAAAATGGACAAGCAGTAAATCAGTGTATAGTATGACCAACACAATATTAGCTAGATTAAACATAAACTGTTCTTTCTTGTGGGTCAGACCTGTGTTATGATGAAATTAGGTGAGGCATTAATTATTATTATGAGCTATGGTGGAGAAGAAATATTAAATTTTAATAATATGAGAAAGATAATTTGAGAGTCAAGTTATGGCATTAAATTTATATGATATAATATCATCAGGTAGGCCTACCAGTGTTTCCCAGGTTCATTTATTTGTGGCGGCACGCCACAATATCAACGCTGATTTTTGCTTGTTTTTTTTTTACTAGGCCTATTTAAAATTGTATTTGATTGCAGAGCGCCGTAGCGCATTCGCACAGCACATCCTATTGCTCGTCCCTCTTTCTCTCTTTCTCCCCCATGAACACAGCTGCGCAAATCAGTCCAACACAACGCTGTCAATGTTGGAGACCCAGCTTAATAAAGTTATTAGCAAGCATGTAAGGAGCCTAGCTAATAAGGAGAGCTAAGTTAATGTTAGAAACACCTGGGTTTTCGGGGCTAGCACGCTGTATATAGCTGGTAATCAATATCCACTGCATGCGCCGCCCGCCCCCCCGCCTCAGTTACACTGTCATTCTGTTCCATTTCGTATAGGCTTCGCCCTCTAAGGCTATCGCTACTGGGTTTACCCCTCTGCACGCCTGCACGGCACTGATAAATTTTGTCTACGCCCACCCACAGCGTGGGCCTCTCCTTGTATATATACAACGGTGAGGCCCAGTCTTCAGCTCCCTATATTCTTCAGCACTGAGCTGTCTAAAAGGCAGAATATTTCCTGTCGGAAAAGAAGAGCGATGTCTTCTAGCAAGTCGGCCCGAGCGGGGCGGGACGCCGCTACATCAGTACAGGTGTGCGGCGTCCGTGAAACGGGCGGCTTCGTCCTGCCAGGGGTGCTTTGTGCGCCTCAGACCATAGCACGCCGGCCGAGCGCTCACCCCCGGCTCACACTGCTTGTTCTGCGACCTTCTCTCCCCCGAAGAGAAGCAGCGGCGGGCAGATCTTTTTGCCGGCGAGGACGAGGTAGCATGGCGGTCCACCCACTCTCTTGACGAAGCCCTCAACCTGTTGCAATAGGATAAGCAGGAATCCCCCAGTGCCCCCCCGCTTCCCCTGTTCCAACCTCCGATGACGCCGGCCTCGTCGTTGCTATGTTGCCGCGGCGAGGCCGCTTTCAGTCGCGGGTGATTACTCTCTCGGGTTCCTTTCCTCCCCCCCATGGGTCTGAGGACGATACTACATCCCACCTCCTCTGCCCAGTGCGTGCGCTGTCCTGTTACTTGGCGCCGTTCGCAGCGCCTGTTTATGCACTACAGGGAGCAGTCCAAGGGACTTCACCTGTCGGTGCAGCGCCTGTCTCACTGGCTGTGCGAGGCGATATCACAGGCCTATATGTCAGCCGGTGAGTCCCCTCCGGACGGCATAAGGGCGCACTCCACAAGAGGTGTCTCGTCCTCTGTGGCATTGCACGGTGGGATGATGGTGGACGACATCCGCATGGCGGCTCCCTGGTCGTCCCTGTGCTTTTTTGTCCGTTGTTGGAAACATTCCTCAGAGACTTTGGTCCATTTTGACATGACAGCATCAGGCAGTTGCTGCAGATTTGTCGGCTGCACATCCATGATGTGAATCTCCCATTCCACCACATCCCAAAGGTGCTCTGTTGGATTGAGATCTGGTGACTGTGGAGGCCATTGGAGTGCAGTGAACTCATTGTCATGTTCAAGAAACCAGTTTGAGATGATTAGCTCAAATCATGTGACATGGTGCATTATCCTGCTGGAAGCAGCCCTCACAAGATTACGTGTTAACTGACCTATGTAGTTATTTTAACCCAAATCATGATCTTTTCCTAACCTTAACCAAGTACTTTTTGTGCCTAAACCTATCCAAATTACAATGTTTCACAACTTTAAGAACATGCCGTTTCAAAATGGCAAAGTTTCAAAATGCTTCCGTTTTATTTTGAAAGTCTAACCGGACGTTGCATATTTATTGTTGCTAAGCATTGCTAACTTGACTGCGGAGCCTTAAAGGTTCAGTGTGTAATATTTCTGAGGATCTATCGACAGAAATGTAATATAAGATCCATAACTATATTTTCAGTGGTGTGTATAGACCTTACATAATAAACCATTATGTTTTTATTACCTTAGAATGAGCCATTTATATCTACAGAACCGTGGGCACCCCTGTCACCATTGCATCGTCATGTTTCTACTGTAGCTGAAAAGGTACAAACAGCGCTACAGAGCGCGTTTGGTCACTACGTTCTTCTTGTTCTACTTCTGGTAGAATTCAGGCAGTGCAGACACTCATCACTGTGCTGAATACACGTTAGAAGTAGAAGAAATAGTAATAATCTACAGCAGGGGTTGGCAAATAAGTTTTGCATCAGAGCAGTACTTTCAACCATTAGAGGGTGGATGAGAATATAAGATATAATATTGACCTACATCAACATTTTGTTTAGCTCAGTTGGTAAGGTGCACAGCTCACATATAAAGGGTTGAGCGTTTGATCCCACCTTGTGGAATCTTTTTTTCTCTCTTCAACAAATGTTTCTCAGATCACAAAATGCGCTGCACTGTCCATAATCACAGAGAGAACGAACGTGTTTCCCTTGTCAGTTTGTATAATGTGTGGTTTATAATGGACTGTGGTGCAGAAACAGTGACAGTGTTTGGCTCACATTTTCCATGTTGTCTGTCAGTGGCCAAGTCACAATAACATCTGGTTTTACTGAATAATTAAGTAAATATAATTTCTTAATAAATCTACCTAAAGAAACCTCATTTCTTGACTGGTCACTCTGTGCTGTCTCAGAAAAGACACCTTTTGTGCTGTGTCAGCCACCGTAGCTGTCCTGCGCTCTTTCAAAGGTTAGGGGGCAGTGGTAGACTGGACGGATGGTTGCAATTCATAACCCTCACCACTAGATGCCACTAAATCTCACACACTGAACCTTTAAAGGTCTAAAAATTACTCTAAAGGGCCTTGACCAAGCGTCAGTATATAACAAGTCAGGAGTGAGAATTTGTGTTTGCCTGAACTGTTTTCATGTTGTTTACGCCAAATTCTGACCCTACCATCTGAATGTCGGAGCTGAAATCAAGACTCGTCAGATCAGACAACGTTTTTCCAATCTTCTGCTGCCCATATTTGGCGAGCCTATGGGAATTGTAGCCTCAGTTTCCTGTTCTTAGCTGACAGCAGCGGTCTTCTGCTGCTGTAGCCCATCTGCTTCAAGGTTCGACATGTTGTGGGTTCAGAGGTGGTACTCTGCATACCTTGGTAGTAACGAGTGGTTATTTGAGTTACTGTTGCCTTTCATCTTGAACCAGTCAGCCCATTCTCCTCTGACCTCTGCCATCAACAAGGCATTTCGTCCACACAACTGCCGCTCACTTTCGGACCATTCCCTGTAAACCCTACAGATGGTTGTGCGTGAAAATCCCAGTAGATCAGCAGTTTCTGAAATACTCAGACCAGCCCATCTGGCATCAACAACCATGCCACGTTCAAAGTCACTTAAACCCCCTTTCTTCCCATTCTGATGCTCGGTTTAAACTTCAGCAAGTTGTCTTGACCACGTCTACATGCCTAAATGCATTGAGTTGCTGCCATGTGATTGGCTGAATAGCTATTTGTGTTAACAAGCAATTTAACAGGTGTACCTAATAAAGTGGCCGGTGAGTATATTTGTCTATTGTCTATTTGTCTATTTGATGACACACAAATGTACTTGCCCGTCAGATCCACAGACCCTGGAATGCTGAGTTCACTTACCGACTGCCTTTGTCAACTTTTCTGTAAGGTCTCCAAAGTGAAGGACTCTACGGAAGCCCTATGCCGCCATCCATTCAAATATTTTTTTACTCCGTTTTCCCGTGATAACGGGATAATCATCTTGTGATCTCGAGATAACAAACCATAGCTGAATACAGGGGTCAGTCGATGCGTTTTTTTTAGGATAATTTCACAGTACTTTTCAGTGTGACTGGTTAGCTCAGTTGGTAAAGCGCGGGACTTGTAAAGCAAAGATTGCGGGATTTCTGCTTTCAACAAAGTTGTTATGAAGAGATTTCTGGGGAATCCAATCACACATTTCCCAACGACTATTTAAAAGGTTCCAAAATTGCCGTCAGGAAATGTGTAACGTTGAATGGATTCCCCTGAATGAGAAGAGTGGGAATTTCCTCTGCCTGGGAATGATGGAAAAATGAAAAGTCCTTAGATTGATGGATGTGGACCAATCGCTGGGATGCGCACAATCCAGCACGTGCTTTATTGTGAACATGTAAAACAGCCTTCTTCTTCGTAAGAACTTTGGTGAAAAGGATTATGAAAAAAAAAAAAAAACAGAGTTGGTATTCAGTAAGGATCAAACCCACAACTCCAAGAGAATGAGTACTCAGCTCTACCAATTGGGCTAACCAGTGACCCTGATATTCATATTGATTTTATTGATATTATATACTATTTGTTTGAGAGCTGCAGTGATTAGTCACTTATTCAAATAATTGCAACTATTGATAATTGGCAGATTAATTGATAATAATATTGTCATTATTTACAGCCCTAACTGAATTACACTTGCCAGTGTGTAACTGGCCAGGATAGATCTAATAGTACTACTGTTGTCTTGTTGAATCTTTAACGTTCTTGTAAAATGATCTGTCATAAATTCTGAAAGTGTAAAGTAACCAGCCACCATAGGTGTCATATAAATATATGTAAAAAGTATAATATTTATTTCTGAAATGTAATTGATTAGAAGTACAAAATTACATAAAATAGAAATGTAAGGAAAAGTACCTCACATTTCATAGTATTTAAGTTCAGTACTTGAGTAGTAAAAAAAAAGTACTTTCTTTTATTACTTTGCTCCACTGGTAAATTTTCAACACCTCACAAGTAGGAATTTGCTTGAAATACTTTGAGGTAATAAAACTTATATAATACAACTTTTAAATTATAATCATAAAGACTCACCATTCACGCAGCGGTTCTCCACTCCCTGACATCGTAACTCAGAGTTGCATTGAGAGGTGGTGGAGTTACAAGTGAAACACGTTAGGTTATTTGGCTGAGCAGGAGGGACTGAAACAGAAAAGAACAAAATTTATTTGAGGAAGAGAAAACATTTAAGCATCACAAAGTTGAACATGACAATAGATAGCAGGATGAGGAGGTGTTCTTTTTTCTGTTATTTATATATATTATCTTTTTTATATTAATTGAGCTACTGATCTATGTGTACTTACAATTTAGATTTCCTGAGTTGCAGTTACTTGTGTTGCAGCACTGAAGAGATCCAACTTGACGCGAAACACCCCATTTGAAAGAAAATGTTTGATTGCCTGTAGCTGGACACAGGGAGGATGGTACACAGGCCCCGATGTTTTGCGGTATTAAAGGTCCAGATGAATTGACTACAAATTCAAAAAGCAGTTTGTTCATGTTGGCAGACAGAACACAAAACTGGCATTAAATTAATTTCACTGAAAAAGAATAGACGACATGAAGAGAACAGTACCTTGAATCGAAGCAGTTACACACATCGACCCTGACGAACATGTTGATGTATTGTTTGAACACTGCTCCAGTGCTCCAGCTGCAATGGAGAGAAAATAGTCAATTCAGTGATGATCACATCACAAGTCAAACATCAAATCAAATCTGACGTGTTGAGGGTTACAGGTTTTGATGATCTATAAAGGTTGAAACATGTTTTTCTTCTTGTTGTGCAGAAGCATTTAAAAAGACACAATGGCTGTTACAAACAGTAGTTCTTTCCAGTGTTTTTTTCAGTAGGATCAACAAAGTCTTGGACAAGTTTAATAAATGTGGTTCTGGTTAATTTAAAAATAAACTGTTAATATTTAGATTTTAAATCTTTTTGAAAAAACTTTTCTGGCAAACTGAAAAATGTCTTCAAACTTTTAAACTATTCTCCCTGCAGAAACTCTAATGTGATAATAAAAGCAGATACCTGTGCTGGAGAGCGCCCAGATGAGAGTCAGAGAAAGGATCATCATGATGATAAAGTAAGTACTGTGGAATAGTTTTCCGGTATGATGATACTGAACCTTATATACACTGTACATGTGTTGAATACATGCATCACTCAGGGATTGGGTGATCCTGTTTTGACAGTGTAACCAGACCTCCTCTTTTGTCATTGTGTCAACACATTTTCCTACCCTCTTTTTAATTAACGTGTACTAGTGCAGGATTGGGCACCAAATCAAAAATATTAAATATTCTTTTATATTTTATTTCTACAGTAACCTACTTTCTGAAAATGTTGTTATAATATAGTTGTTTCGTACTGTTGAAAGGTGCTATACAAATACAGTTGCCTTGCCCTTACATGCACTACATTTTAACAATACCTTGCTAAAAAAAATATTTTTATTTGTAGCTGGTCAAGATGGAACAACAATCCTTATATATATACACCATTCACATATTAATGCATCAGTAATTAGAATCATTCTGAAATATTAAGTATGTACTACAAAGTAATAGGTGCATTAAGAGGTGATTGGGCTACAAGAGGAACACTGTAAGCTTTATCCAGGATACAAAATTGAAATTGAGCACGTCAGAAGATGGCAGAATGCCAAAGTTGTTGGCATCAAAACAAAAAGTGCAGTTTGTTGATGTTGTTGAAAAGCGCACATAACTTAGCAGAATTTCACTGAAAAGTACTGGATGAGATGAAGAAATTATGATTATTATGATTCAACATTGTCATTTAAAAAACATCATTTTTTTTTCTTTACGTCAGTTGCAAAAACTTGATAGTATTTCTCCAGGGAGTGTAGTAATAGACTGTGGCAGCGCCATACTAAAAGTCTGTCAGGTACTACAGATTGTACGACAGACCAGTAAAAGTGCAGTTCTGGCTCTCTCCCCATTCATTTAGATAGGAGCCTGGTCTTGTTAGTCCTAAATAGCTGCAAGGAAGCGTTGCCAAGATGGCGGCCGAGTGGCAGGACTTGCCTAAAAGGACTTTGATGTAATGTAACTAATAGTAACGTAGCTCTGGGTCTTGTGTAGACCTACATGCATTGTAAATAGCCGCTGGAACACCGGATATCTTTTTTTCTCTGCAAACTGAAACTAAAAGTCAAGTTTTGACTGTGTAACAAACGTGTTGTTTTTGGCTCTGAAAGATGTTTCCTCTCCAGCGGATGGAGGGCAAAATGGAAGTGGGCACCACCTTCAGCAGATCAACCTATATTTTTAAAGGTAGAGTCAATCTGTGGCTGCTGGAGGCTGGGAGAGAATACAGAGAGGGCTTGTTGGCTGAAGCCCAAGGCAAAATAAACTGCTATTGTTATCAGACTTGGCAAACAGAGCCACAGATGATGTTTTACAGTGTTTCCTCTCAGACTGCAAAACTCATATTTATGTGTAAAATCAGTGGAAATCCTTTTTTCCCCACTTTGGTGCTTCACATCTCTATAAACTAAACTACTTTACACTTGTCACCTGTAATAAAAATATGATGCAAACAATGTTCAGTCCCTCTGTACACATGATTATCAGCTAAAGGGTGTGGTTCATATCAGCTGTGAGTTTGTTTGGTCTATGACCGCCTGACAAGGATGCAGATTCGGTTATGTGTAATGCTACAGTGGCAGTTTGTCAGTGAACTGTGTGTGAACACTGAGAGTACACAATGCATTTGAATCGCTGTGGGATGCACAAACATCCCTCTAACATTTATAATATCTTCTTTTTTATATGAAGATTTGCACTTTTTCAAAGAATATGGTTTGTTTTGTATTATATATATATATATATATCTTATTGTCAACAAATTCCACAGAAAGACTAAAACCAATATGTACATGTGTATGTGTGACTGAGTCAGAATAAACAGTGTGTGTGTTCATGGTGACGAGGGAACATGTGACCCAGTGAAACAGTGAGGCTCGCTGATGGTTTTAATAGTCAGACAACAATGGAGCTCTATAGCTCAGAGATACACACAATACTTATTAGTAGATACATACATTGTAGGTTTTGGTATTTTAAATAGGATTTGTTGACAAGCAGAAAATATAGAATAATGGAAGCTTTATCATCTGAGGCAATAAATTATTATTTTTTATTATCTTTCTTTTCTAAAAATTAGTAAAATAAAAATATAGGTAACAGGTAATAAGCTACTTTATATTCAAAACTGTTAACAAAGGGATTGAAATATTTATACTATATTATTTGTTTTCATAACAAATCGTTGCTAATTTATCAAAATTAATATCATGGCAGAAACTATTTTGATACTTCACCTTATCAATACTTTATACTCATATACACGATCTATTCATTGAATTAAGTGGACATTCTGCCTTGCAGAAAGAGCATGTTTTATTTCATGGTCTCTCTGAAGTGTTTTCTGCCATTGTTGTCACTTTGTTCTATCCGTGCCGTGTGGAAAGTTATTCAAGCATCCAAAGTCATGAGACGTGACGGTAAACAGAGGGAAGGTCGTATAGCTTAGCCTGTCACGATCCTGTCCAGTGTAGCCTTGTTTATTATTTTATTCATTTGCATGTTTAACTTTACTTAGTATCTGTCTTGTCCCTTATCTTAGTTCTGCATCTTAGTTCCTGGTCCTGTGCCGTAGTTCATGTCTTAGTATTTACTCCTAGTTCTGTGTTTGCATTATTTTAGTTTTAGTCTGCTCTGTATTCTGTGCCTCTAGTTCTGTTCCTGTTTGGACCCAGTTCCCCCAGTTATCCCTCTGCAGTCCTGATCCAGGTCACCTGTGTTTCTCCCGCCCTGTTCGTTAGACCCTGTGTGTGTGTGTGTGTGTGTATGTTTGCGGTGTGTCTTCACTCCTTGTCCGGACATTGTAGCGTATCCTGTGGATATATTCAGCCTGTTGTTGCCCTGCTTGTTTCTGTGGAGTTTGGATTTCTGTTGCATTACCTTCTTTTATTTGGACTCTGTTTATTTTGGAAAGCTTCAGCTCAGCCACTCTGCCTGTAAGTGTGCTCACCTTTAGTTTGTTTAAATAAACCTTTTGAACTGTACCTGCTCAGCTCAGTTTCCTGCATTTGGGTCCATCAACCACACCACACCCTGACTTAGCCAAACATTTAGAGTAGGTTTATGGGGTGGAGTAACCACAGCAACAGTTTATAAATGGCTGCCTGTAAATACATAATACATATTAATAGTTTTATCAATGTGTTAAGGCTTTTATGAGACGCTCTTGAGGTGGGTGTGGCCAACCTGCTAGGAGTAAAAAACTCAACTCGACTCTACTCACCTTTTTTTTGGTTTTCCATTGTGGAAAAGTTTTACCTGCTACCAGGTAAATTTTTTTGCTTCACCTCCATTGAGGTTCCAAGCGAACTGAGGCGATACTAAAATGTGATGTGAAAACACAGCAGACCACTGATTGGTCAGAGAGAATTGTCACTATTCACTGCGTCATCATTGCACACGCCAGACATTGGCCAGCGACAGAAAGTTTTAGATTTTACAATTTTAAGACGTCATTTCATCACTAAATCCACTTCTGAGAAGTTTTGAGGTGAGAAATCAGCTGTGTAGATTTCCAATAATGACAGTTTTACAAAAAGTGATGGCATAAAAAAAGTGTGCTTGAATATTTTCGGAGTTGAGGAGCTCCACAAGTGACGGCGGGGTAAACCTGTACCAACCCGTGGGACTGATTATTTGACACTAAGCAACCAGCCAAATACACACCAAGACCAACACAATAATACCAAGTACGTTTTAGACAGTAGCTACACCTGAAAGTTAACTTGGTCAGACAATATGGATAAGAAACAAGCCAGCGCGAACTTGTTAAATGACCACAACTATAACCTGGCAGCCCAGAAGGTGTGTGAGGCAGATGAGATTGAGAAGATGGAAGAAAGTAAGTATTTTGGTGAATGAACACACACCGCTGCCCAGCCCTGACCCCAAGAAAAACCAGACAAAAAATATGAAAAGTCATGAGAAAGAAATCAACAAAAAAGAAATTGAAAAACTGAAGGGACAAACTGAGTTAATGAAAAAAGAAAACTGCTTCTTGAGAGAAATGAGCCAGGAAGATGCAAGATGAGACTAATGAGCCTACCTAAGAAGAAAAATGAAGACAACAAGGAAGTCATAATCCTGACCCGGGTGACTCCGGAGGTGGTGGATAAACTCAGAGAAGTGGCTGACATGGTTCATCTCCTGGGAAGGAAAAGTGATGCACCAAATAACAAAATGCAGAGGCCCATCATCATGCTGTTTGCAGAACGGACGGCTAGGAATGATATCTGGAGGAAATCCAAAGATGAAAGAGTTTGCAAAGAACTGAATATTAAAGGTTTATAAAATATTGTTACACGCAAGGGTATGTTTTCATCTTGCAAAGAACAAAAGGCAAATTAGATTTTTCTACAGGAGACTCATTCAGGAATAGCAGATGAAAGATTTTGGAAACAACAACGGGAAGATGACATTTTATCTCTCATGGAACTTCTCACTCAGCAGGAGTAATGGTGCTGATAAATATAGTTCTAGGGAAGGCAACTGAAAATAAAAGTGACACAGATTGACATGGGCTCATGGAGGTAGTAGAGAGATATGACCAAGCTTTAAATATAATTTCTATCTTCTCCAGGGCATCAGGCTTAAATATAAATCCAAACAAATGTGAAACACTGTACCATTGCACAGATACACATGTTATCCATTCCCATTGAACACCATCAGCTCTGCGCAGCACCGCTTGAAGTCAAGAGCACCAATTTTCCCACAATCTCACGTCACATGGCACTACCTTGTGGAACAACAGAACAATCACAATTAATAGGAGTTTTCTCTGCCCTAAGGTTTTTCCACATAGGCACGTGGAGAGGCAGGGAGTCACAGAACAGAACCACACCGTCAAACGTATTGCAAGCAAATAAAGTATTTGATGAAGTTGTCCTGACTGAAATAACACAAGCTTTGTATTTCACTCTGTGTACGATGTGTACAGCATGTGTGACGTCGAGCAACAGCTTAACAGTAAAATGTGTGCACTTAACAAATATTTAAAGCTACCATTTCACTACCGTATTAACCCAAACATTAGTCGACTCTGATTATAAGAGGATGCCTCTTTTCCAACCGCTGTTTTTGAAAAGGCTTCTTTGGAAAGAATATACAAATCGCTTTCACACTAGTCCAGATTTTCTACCTGGTTGTGCAGTAAAGACATCAGGATACTCTTGAGACTTGTCTATACTTGTGACTATATTTCCTCAGTAGTGG